CAAAAAAAAAATTATTTATATAAATAAATGGTAATAAAAAAAAATATTTGTTAGCTTTCTGCAATGAACTTTGTATAAAATGATAAAGACAAAGCTTACTGTATAAAAAAGTACCACTACCAAAAGAGTGCCACCYGGAGTGAGAACACCCTTCCTGACAAACCTTAAATATACACTGCACTTAAATAAATTGCTTATTATTCTATTTTTTTTTTTACAAGCTAACTTATATTTATTATTTGAAAGCAGCATGTTCGTCTGTTTTTTTATAAAAATAACTACCGCAAGAGGAGAAATTATCAGTTAATTAAATGTGCCATGGTATTGTTTAATACTATAAAATGAAAGTAACATATTTAAGTTATATTAAAATCAGATTTCATACATATGATTTAAGTGATAATGCTTAAATTTTGTTAAAAACCTTAAGTTATTATATTCAAATTAGAATATTGTGTAATTGAATAGTTGAATCTAATTCGTGTATGATTCTCCATTAGGCAGAATTGATGTATAGATAATGAATTAATATATAGTTCTTATACCAGATGATTGTGATCTGATTTACAAAATGTTGAGCAATTAAATTCTATTTACCTAAGATCAGATTGTGAATGTCAGGAAAATTAAAAAAAAAAATATATATATCTAAAAAAATAAATAAATATTGGATTAGTACACGTCATACATTATTTTTTTATTTATGTAGAGAACATAATATTATTTTCCGACTAGAATCTGGCAACAAATAAAATAAATTTGCTTGGCTTATCGGCTTAAAAAAAAATTACAGAATTCCAGATTATTATAAAAATGTAGTACAACAAATATTTAAATTGGAATATCATTAAAATTAAATGTTCATCATAATCTTCTCAATTTGTACAATACTTAAGTTGTGCTCTCAATAATTTCTAAAATTACTTTAAGTGTTTGATATTGATCTTAAATAGATATCAGAAATATAACGTCATGTCGACGGAGTCACACAAATTTACATCTCTAAGACAAGCTAGGAAATCAGTTTCTATCGCAGAAAAAGAGGTAAGAGTGTTGTTTAATAAAATTAGTACTTATTATACGTATTACATATACTACCTAAGATAAGATTAAATTGGATTTAGTTTATTCAATTATAATAAATAATAATGCAATATATTTATTATTTGTATAATCATACTTATAATAATTTTATATTAATAAGTACTAATATTTAATATTAACCTGTACATGGTTTTATATACGTAAGCTACCAATTTTTTTTGTTCATGAAAATGGGTGTTTTTAATTTTCTCGATTATCTTGCAATGAAAAAGAT